CAGACGTATTTGGAGCGTAAGCAGGCACATTTAGGGTTGAGCAGACATGAGGGTTGGGCAGACACATTTAAGGGTTGAGCAGACAGCGGTGAGTGGGCACATTTAGGGTTGCCAGCTTTCCAGGACTGCCTTTGAGTCTCCAGGAATGAGATGTAAATCTCCAGGAGACTGCTGAGAGTCACCAGGGACATAACTGATAGGACATTAGTTAAAATAATTATTAAAGGTTGAATCCAATTTATGCTGTAGGGTGGTGGGTTTTTAAAATGTAATAGGAACATGCACATGTCTTCCTGCCATAAAGTCTACATGCCCATAACCATAACCCAGAACTGATATATGCTAGCATGTGGGCATGTTGGCATTGTGTGTTGTGGGCACATTGGAGTTCTGGAAACCTCCCAGAATAGATTCAAACAGAGTCAGCAGCCCTGGCAGACAAGGGACAGGAAAGCAGTCCCTGAGAGTATCCCTCAGCCTGTAATGCAGGCCAATACCCACAAGGGAACGCTATAAGCCCCCCTTAAAAAAGGGAGGCCGCTAGGTAGAAAATAACTCATTTCTGGGAACAACTAAAGACATAATAGGGATGGGAGTGAGGTCAGAGGTTTAAAACAAGTGCCCAAAGGGGGCACGTGGAGCATAGCACACCGGACAACACCCACTGGCTCTCAAATAAGTTCAAGGAGCCAGCAGTCACTGCCCAGTGGTACTCTGCCCAGAGAAAGGATCACACCAGGGACAGGACTTTAACACATCAGGGGATTTCATGGCCCACCAAGGATACTATAAGCTGTCTTTTAGTACTGGGGGCCACTAGTGATGTGTGACTGGTTACTTGGGACAAATCATAATGAAAACGGACAGGAGTGGAGGTCAGAGGTTCATAACAAGAGTGCCAAGGGGAGACACCAAGCAAAGCACACTGGACAGCACTCACAGGCCCTCAAATGAGTCCAAGGTGCCAGTGGACACTGCTCAGTGATACTCTGCCTGGAGACGGGATCACATTGGGGATAAGAAAGCAGTCCCACAGTCCCCAGGGTCCTCTTGCCCAGAGCCTCCTTCCTGGTGCAGGCAGAACCCCAGCAGGAGGTTCTGGAGGAGGCCGTGAAGGGGCTTCAGCCTGGTGCACTCCAGGTAAGTGTGCTCCATGGTTTCCCTCTGCTCCACAGTCTCCCTCTGCTCGCAGAAAGGGCAGGTGTCAGGAGCATCCGTAAACCATGCCAGATACATGCCTGTGGCAACAGCTCCACGTAGGAGCCGCCAGCAGAGCGGAACATGGGAAAGGCTGGGGCTGCCCTCAAGGCTAGCACCAAGCGTGGTTGTACTGAGAAACCATTCAGGCTGTGGGGTATCCAAATGCCTGGGGTTGTTCAGGAAGAAGCAAGGCAGGCTGCAGAAAAAGGGCCTTGCTACATGTTGGACTCTGAGTTGCTCAAATGCTGATTGGTTAGTGCTACCTTGAGTTTGGGAGCAATCACACCTTCCAGCTAAAAGCCTCCTCTGATTATTCCCCACCTGCCCAGCTGTGACTTACTGCTGGAGGGCTGGTGAGCAGAGAGCTACAGCTGGGACTTGCTGCTGAGACTTGCAACTTGTCCTGGTGAGCTATGACACGCTTCTAGCCATGCTCTATATGTGGGGGGATGTGGCTGGGGGGGAGGGAGAAGGAACAGTAGGCTGTTAGCATGGTTATATCCATGGGGGAGGGCAGGTCATACTCCCCAGGAAGGCAGGAGATGTTAGCTTGGTGCCTGGGCAGTAGAGTTCAGGGGATGGAAAGTTTGTCCACACAGAACAGGAGAGTAAGGAAAGGGAC